AAAAATTAATTTGAGTAGATTTTTATTAAATAAATTTTCTTTATAATCAAGTAACTATCTTATAATTAAATACTAGATATTAGGGTTAAATCTTAAATTGTTAATGATGATATATCTTATAGTCTTTTATTTTCGATATTAAAACTCGTTAAAAAAATTCATATAAAAATTTTGTATGCATCTTATTAGGTAATAGAACTGTATTTCAAAAAAGAAAAACATTACGTAAGAGACATAAATAATTTAAAAGAAAGCCATTGCCGATGGAAAGAAAAAACAATAAGAGGAAAAGGCCAGCTGTTGCTGCACTGTCTGGCAGGTCTAAAACCGCGTCTCTTGGGCATCCATCAGCCTCGTGCACTTTCTTTTTTCTGTTTAAAGTATAATTAATAAATTACAAAAAGCCTCAATACACACATCATCTCTCATCTCTTTCATGCTATTTGCTTAGCTGCTTACGCATGCATGGCTTGACTTTCTCCCCAAGTTCTCTCTGCACTCGAACCAAGATCAACTACAATCATTTGGCCACATGCGTCCCAAGTTTAAACCAAAGTATGTATTGAGTTCGTTATATTTCCTCCAAAAATTCTCTACAAACTATACCTTCATTCTCTACAAACTATACCTTCATTATTTTAGGTCTGACACTAATATTAAAAGTTAATATATAAAACATCATGCATATTGGAGAAGAGATTCGGAACCTTCACTCTCTTAACTAATCTCACTATTCATCATCTTCGTCAGCTCGCTAGAATCAACATTCATGATTCTCCTTCCAAATTATATCTTTATATTTATGTTCGTGCATGTATAGGATTTAAACATCAAGTAAGATAGGTCGCACAAGGCAGGCCAAGCTAACTGTTTGCAATGATATAATGCGGAAAAGGACATAATCTGTACATGCAATACATTTTCACAAGGAAGAAAAGGGGCAATGGCAGAGAAATATTAAGTAATTTGCACATAGAAATGCTCTTTCCAATGATAATTCATGTGGGGAGGAAAGAAGAGTGTCGGATACCTTGACAAATCTTGCTGCTTTCCCATTGTCACACTAAATAATAAAAGAATGAACTAAGAAGGCATCTCTTTACTATAATTAGAGGGTGTTGTCCTAAATCAATTGTGAAATGTTATTCAATCAAATACTGCTGCTGGGGCTGGCACGATCTGATTCTGCAATAAGAACATGGTTTTCAAAATAATTTCTCTTCACATGCTCGGCCCATCTTTGCTCAATTCTCTAATTGAACTTGTCAGAAATTTAGGAATGAAACAGGGTTAGTTTCTTGGAAATGAGCAAGTAATTTCATTTTCTATATTCGGCAGCTGGTCTGGATTTTTTATATCTTGTATACATTTTTTGTAGACACACTATTCGGATTTGGGATATCTAAAACCAACAATATTAACCCTTTTTATTATTGAGATCGCTTAATAAATTTTTGAATGGATAAATTTTTATTAATTGATATTAGTTTCATTTACTTAAATATCATCTTATAAAGAATTATTTCATAAATTAATATCATTTTTAGATTAAATTTTTGTATTAATATTATTTTATGTCATAAGATAAAAATACATTATATCACACATGTCTTAAAAAACATGTTTACATATTGTATATTTACTTACATGACCGATTGTAAAAATGTATAATGACAAAATTATCCTTAATATTTATCTAAATGGTCATTTTGACTCATTTTTTAAGTATATTAACCTCAACGTTTTAATTTTTAGTCAAAATAATCATGTTCTATTGAAACTGGTAGTTAACTAATGATCAACACATGTTGCATATATTTCAAACAATAACAATAATTGCACATATGCACAAACATATGGATATGTTCGGATAGTCCCTTGTCACTCATGATTGAAAATCGAACAATAATATCAAGTCTAACATGACTAATCCATCGTCACGCATGAAAGCAAATCAGAAATATAAATCATTAATCGTTACTTAGGACCACAAATCGTAAGAGCACCACTCATGTATGGAATTCAAATCAATAATAACGTTGAACCTTACATGTTCCCATGTCACACATGGTTATAAATCAATAATATTATCATTCGAGATCAAATCACATTTCTCAAAAGACATTTAATCATCATAAACACTACATCGAAGTTTCATGCATAATTTGTGTTTATTTATTTCAAGGCACAATATACTTCAGAGAGTTTGAATCATTTTAAGCATGATCCATTTGTAAACCTTATGAAATATTACAAGTGATTTGAGTAAATTATGCTTCAGTTTTTAACATTTTATAAGTATTGGTATTTATACACATCTAGTAGTATGTTACTCTCCATAGTGTATCAATACTCGTGTGTAGCGTCAATACCAAATTGGTTAACTGGAATTGTATTTTTTTAAACCAATATCGATACTTTATTCAAAATACCGATACTCAATGAAAAATATCATCACCTCAAGAATGAGAATCAACATTTTCTTTCAAAATTATCCAGGTTTTTATAAACTTTCATACGATATTGATATCATATTAATTATATCAATACTAAAGTTTATAAAATACAATTTTAGGGTTAGACAAAAAAAATTAATTAAACTCGTTAATGAAGCGTCCAATAATCTAAACCCCAAATATCTTCCTACCATGCAATGATACAAAAGGGAGGATTTCTTGAAACTCTAAAAATGAAGATGATTTTACCTTCTCTTAATTCTTAGTGAATGGTATTTTTTTACAGATCTTGATTTTATCAACTCAAATACCATAGATTTTGGAGTAGAAAAGAATATGCGAGAAGGAAATATAGATGAAAAGATGAAGGAATAGGAGGATGAGGTCTCAAATCTTGATTTTAATTGCTTATGATGACTCGTGTTATGTATGTTTATATCAATGTTTATATGTTACTGTTTTTAAAAGAATTAAACGTGGGAAATTAAGTCTGATTTTATTCTGGGTCATTTTGATGATTAATGTGATGTTTGACATTCAAATCGGAGGATCCCGATTAAATATTGAATGTCATAGTGTTTATTGGTTTTTCTGTTCTTGATAAAAACAACAGTAACAATAGATAAGATTTTGAATCATCTTGTGACATCCAATAGATATACACAGACAACATAATGGAAAGCACCATCATCAACTGTCGTAAGTTAAATTGCATGCAAACTGCAAAGGATAATATGTTTGTCTGGGGCAACTCTGCAGGTTAAGAATAAAGATATGGAAAAAGCAGATATTAGAAATCTGTCCTAGAACTTTCTGTATCAATATCAAGATCCTTACCTGATACAAACAAACAAACAGAGATGCCATTAATGAAGATTCATGCTTCTTCCACCATCTCAAGTCTCATCAATAACTGGCATTGAAAATACCGTACTGTCCCATAACTATTCCGTACCGGGTGTGTAGGGAGGAAGGTGACAATGAAGATTTTATTTGCATTAAATACGATATGGAGAATTGAGCCTCAGCCAACTGGAATTATAGCTTTGTTTTGAATGAATATTGAAAGGGGAATGGGCGAAAGTGCTGAGAAGGATTGAGAATGTTGGATGGTAGAGAGGCAAAATCCATGTGGGTTTAGACTAAACAGAAACTTCCAGGAAAAATAAGAGTCAAATCTGCAACCACCATATCTACACTCAGGGCTAACGTAATGCTTATACTATACATCATTTGTCTTTTTCGGCCTTCTACATTTTTTTTTTGAGAAATATCTAATTTTGACCAAAATCATGCACAAATGAAGATAAAACTATTCGAATCCTTAAGTTTTTTTTTTTTGTATAATAAATAAGTACAAATTGCAGATGAAATACGGAAAATGAAAGGAGGTTAGTTGCTTCCATACAAGTTCTTAAAATGTTACTAGAAATGTAAATGTTAGTCAAACATAATTAAAAAAAAAATTCTTCAGCTCTCAAACTTCATCGATCTAATTGGTCTAGCGTGACGAGACACTAAATTCCTTAAGCAAAGTTAAAGGTTCAAATTTTAATGTTTATGAATGAAACAAAACTGTATTAGTAGGATTGTCCTCACCTCTACAATACTAGGTCCATATTAATCGATTAATAAATCGAATACTATGATTATACCAATTAATCGTTCAACAGTCATTGATCTTAATTAGAAAGCTCGGCGGATAAGGATTAAGCTTCCTAGTTCAAATGCTCCCTCCTTATCCAAAGTCAATTATAACAATTTAGATAGATTTAATAATATTTTTGAACATCAATCTTTTTATGAAAAAATATTATTTTAATTCTTAAATATTTCGTTTCTTTTGACACCAAACTTATAAGTTTTTCTTTTAATTAAATTGAATCAATTGACGAAACAAATAACAATTTTTTAACTATTTTCTATATTTTTCTTATAAATTTTAAATTTTCCTCATTTTTTTGTAATTCTATCATTTTTTATTTTAAATATATATTTTTTTAAAAAATAATATTTTTATTATTTTTAAATATTTTATTTTACATAAAAATGATGGATGTTAGCATTGGCTAAAGATAAAACAATAAACGTCGGTTTAACGAGATTGTTATTCCTTTTTACCAATTGATTCAGCTTAATAAAATATTTGAAGTTAAATGGCTAAAACAGAAGAGAAAAATCAAGATTAAAAATACATATATATTTTTAAGTTTAAGGTCCAAATTATCATTAAACTTCTTTTTAAGTATAAACTTAAAATGCTACAAAATACTATAACAAAATAAATATCATCGACAAGATTTTAAATATTTTTAAATAACATTCCTGCCAGTATAATCTCTTGTCATTGCATGAAAGATGGAAGAAGGATCCTGGAAAACACTAGAAATGGAACAGGATGAGGTTCGACTGACAACAATCTAATAGACTTGTTTGGGAACACGACTATTTCACTAAACTTCAAGTTTTATGCAAGATGTTCATCCATCAAAGTTCCAAAGGATTACTTTATTCTATTGCAGATTACAGTAGTTGTTATGCAGCAATTCATGAAACTTTGTGGAATGTTTCCTCACTTATTGAATATCAGTTTCTTTCTCATGAACGGCTATGGAGGAAATACAAGTTTTTTTTTTGTAAATTACATGCTGGGAATAACACTTGACCTGTCCAGATTCCAAATTGTTTCGATCTGAATTGTTGCAGATGTTGATGATAACCTGAAGCACTCGAACCCTGAAATGATTCAGAATTCAGATATTTTTGAAGAAGAAAAAAACCAACACTGTAATCTAAGCTTTCACAGTTTCACTCAGAAAAACTGGTGAGACAAAGGACAACTACCAAACCCCTGACTTACAGCATCCCAACAACAAACACAATTAACTGGAAAGCAGCTCTATGTGCTTCTTAGATTCTATGGGGACGTTCATGCTTACAGTAAAATTCAGATCAAACAACATCGTCTACATATTGTTTAAATACTAAAGGAGTCTTAGATTGGTAGTGGTTGCTGGTTAGATGGATTTCGTACCAATAGCTTTACATTGGTAAGATTATAGCAAGCTGGTTCATATTACGGAAATGAATGATTTTGTGAAAAGTACATGGCAACAAGCAAGACAAGATATTGTTACTTACAAAAATAACGTACATTATGAAAATATTGCACAAGCAGAACACAGAAGATGATTGATCTTACCAAGAGACACTGCAACCATGTTGATTTGTCAAACCAGTTGAAGTCATCTAATTAGATTCTCCTTTAAAGGTACTCAGAGAACTTATTACGGATTCATACACTTCAATTCCCCTCAAGTACACGGTATCTTTCAGGAACTGCAAGACAGAACCGTTGTAAGAAATGGAATTAATCTTAATAGTAAGAAAAATGATTATAAGTTTGCAATTAGTCAAACCTCGTTATGATCATGCAACAGGATGGGAGTGTTTGTCATTGGGGAAAAACCAAGTGTGGGAATTCCTCTTTGTCTCGTGAATCGTGCATCAGTTGTTGAAGCTAAAATTTCAGGCCTCGAAAGTTTTCCTCCAGCTGCCTCAATAGCTTGCTTGAAAACAGGCCACCATGGATTAGACTCGTTTGTCAATGTCATTAGAGGGCGGCCCTGGTAATCTCTTATTGGCCCTTTTCTCGATTAACTACCAAATTAGAATGCAATCAGCGCAACAGAAAAATGAAAATCTGAGATTATAAGTTATTACTAATCAAGAATACTGCATGAGAATAAGAATAATGCAGATAGATGATGATCCAGCGTGTTGACGATTTATATCCTTTTTTATCATTAAAACTTAATGTTCTAAGAAACTTTTTGCTGGTGAATCATTGACACCTTAATTAACTCTACGTATAGATGACTCATTGCAAATTCAAGTGCACAGTGACTAATATGTTAATAAGTAGGACATGGCTTAATTGATCTGTCAAATTCAAGAAGCGTATTACAGAACAAAACAGTTAGTTACCATGGGGCTTATCATCTTTCAACATGAGGATTCTCTAATGGTAGATATATAAAATTATACATATTTAGAAGCCACAGAGAACAAAAATGTATGTGACTATGTTGATACAAAACAGTTAAACCAATTATCATCAGCATGCTAAAATAACTCATTGCACACTTCAAGTAAACAGCGACTAAGTAAGAACGCCAAAGCACATATTGAAACAACTAAATATTGTTTAAAACTTCCATTTTCTTTCTCTCATTTTATAACTCTACCAAGCACATCAAATGGAAAAGAAAAATATATTTTCTATCTTCTATGTTCTCCTACTCTAAAATTTCGTCTTCCCAATTTTTCTTTCCAACTTGCCAACCAGTTATTGTTTTATAATTTTCTCGGATCAAGAGTTTGGCTCTCCTGGGCTTGCTTGGTAAAGTTGAATGAAAATTGAAAAGATTAAAAATTTAGGAGAAGAAAATAGAATGATTGAAAATATATTTGTTCTTTCCATTGGTGCGCTTCGAAGGAAAGATGAAAAATAGAAACAAAAGATAATTTCTTTCTGTCACTTGCGGAGCAGAGTAAAAAATGAGTGGAAAGAAATGAAAACTTTAAAATGAACAGCTAACTTCCACCTTTTTCATTTTCTTTCCTCTTTATCATTCCAATTTGGAATGGTTTGTTTAATGCATTAGGATGGTAAATGGCATCTTTCATGTTTCTTTCCTCTCATTTTCCTTCCTGCCAACCACATTCAAAATTTATTTTCTTTCCACTTTTCTGTTCTGCTCTTTCCATCCTTCTATTTCACCACTCAAACAAGTGCACCCCTACTGTCACGTAGGAGCATTCCTAGCAAGTACTTCTATTCATCAAGATTCCACAGAACATTATTGAAGACTAACCATTCACCATTCTAGGGATGAATTTGTGAGTAGAAAAATATTGAAAGGAAACATTTGCAGATGTACATAAAAGGTGGCCCAATATGAGGCATTGTGTATGTTACTAGTTGACTAGAGAAATGGAATTTGAGTGGCAGTAAAGAATACAATTGATCACATGATAATGAATGTAAGAATACATGCTTTAACACTGTTAACATTTATCATTTTACACGCCCATCCGAAATAAGTTATGATTCAGTATCAACTTTACTTAGGTTGATGAAGATGAAGCCATTTCTATCACTTTTCAAAATATGCAGTCCTAAATTACCAAATCACAGCCTGCCTTATAGGATTCGTTCTAAAAGATAGGCCAAAAATGTAAGATGATGGGTGTGAGTGGAGAATGTTATTGGCCATTGTTTGTTGGACCTTGTTGAAGCATAGGAATTTTGTGGTATTTAATCAGGAAGCGTGGAGCACTGATAGAGTGACTGTGCAATGTGCAAGAACATAGTGCCGTCCAATCTAAAGTGACCCTCAGCTGCTTCGAGGAGTTTGGCAGATCGAAGCTGAAAGTTACCCGGTAAAGGGTGGGTCAAGTTTAATACAGATGCTTCTGTCAATTGCAATCTGCAGAAGCTCCAGTTGGCGGGGTGCTCTGGGATGAAAATGCACGTGGCTTGCTGGTTTTTCCAGTAATATCGGTCCGAGTACGGTGCTGATGGCGGAGCTCTGGACTAGGATTGAAGGTATTTCAATTGCATGGCAGTAAGGTTTTGAAAAGGTGATTCTTGAGTCAGATAATCTACTGGTGGATCTAATCAACAATAGGAGGCTGTTGGGTGATCAACAACTATTGTCCACGATATTCAAGACAGACTATAAAGAAACCGGGAAGTGAAAGTGCTTCATGTTAATAGAACAACAAATAAGGCGACTGATCATATAGTCAAATATTGCATGCATGGTGATTTTAGTTTGAGGTTATATAACTATAAGGACCCTATTCCTGGCACCTGGCACCTGGCACCTGACACTTGCTAGTGGAGGATGCTTTCGGCTGATTATGTGCTCTTTTCTTGTATTCTAGGCTGCTTAAGGGCCTACTTTTTTAGTTAAAAAAAAAAACAAAGAAAAGCTAGGCCACGAATATAATGTGGCGAGGTTTCAATAACATGTAGGAATGATTAACAAGTGGATTGATTACTCTGCATTTCGTTAAAGAAAAGGTTCTATGAGTTTGATTATAGTAAAGAGCTAGTTGCAGATTCAGCAGAATACTTAAATCAGACTTCTTGTATAAAACCACAATTATTCTGTAAATCTTGTAATGTTCCTTCAGTTATCGGCAATTTAATATTGTAAAAGATCGAGTAGCACCATAACTTCAATTGGGCATATCACGAAAGCAAAATAACCACCAATTGCAAAAGAAATCATGTAAATAGTCTAGAAACAAATCAATTCCAAGAGATGCACATGAAACTGATTCCAATCAAATCAATCAACTTAATTGCTTAAAAAACAATAATATGTCTGCAAACCATCATAAGGAAAAGCATCACAAACATGTAATGAAAATTATGCTTTACCTTATAAGTCATATTCCTTCTAGCAGGTGCCCATTCCTCATCAATTCTTTTCTTAATAAGATCCGGATCAGCTGTTGGTGGCAACCTAAGATCAAATCCAGCCTCTGCCTCAGAAGGTTGCATATTCATCACAAATCCCTGCAAACAAACAAATCTCCCCATCATCAAACACCATAGAAAATTTCCATTTTAGCATCAATGAAGTATAGAACACACAAATATCAGACACTTACAGTTGGGGAAGGTATCCCAGCCTTCAGATAAACAGGATTAACCGAAATAACCTCAGAGTTCATAGCTTCCCCAGATTTAACAATATGAAACTGGCTCTCCCTGAACTTAGTAATAACTTCCACACTCTTCATCAGATTCTCCATTGCTCCATTATCATACATTCTGGAACCATGCCCTGGAGCTCCACTGGCCTTTATTATAAGTCCCCATGGTGACCTATCAGCATAAAACACTCTATACTCATCAACAGTAGAAGCCTGGCCTTCATCCAAAACGAACCCAACATTCAAATCCTCAAACTCCTTGGAGTTGACAAATTTGTCACACCCATCAATCCCTCCGATTTCTTCATCAGGAACGTAAGAAATATGAACAGTTCGCAAAGGAGTAAACCCTTTAGCCTTGAGGTTGCGAATGGCTTCCAAGTATTGCATAGCGATGCACTTGTCATCTTGAGCACCGCGGGCGTAGATTCGACCGTCGGGGGTGAGGGTGGCGGCGAAAGGGGGGTGGATCCATTTGGAAGGTTCGGCTGGGACGGAGTCGAGGTGGGAATTGAAGAGAACCGAAGGAAGAGAAGGGTCGGAGCCAGACCATGTTAGAAGAAGAACTGGTTTAGATGGGACGAATTCAAAGGTTCGGGCTTGGAGGCCTATGGCGTTTGCTTGGGATATGAGGAAAGAGACAGGGTCGGCGTAGTTAGGATCAGGATGAGCGGTTTTGAACTGAAGGTAACGACGGAATCGAGCGATGGGAGTGTCTTCTTGGGAATGAACTGAGAAGAAGACGAGGAAGAAAGAGAAGAAAAGGAGGCGAAGATTCGGCATGATTAAGGCAATCTAAGAGTGGAGACTAACTAGGAAGTAAAGAAGTAGTACTCATTTCTTTAGAGCATTGAAGTACTTAGATTGAAGTAAAGTACACAAATGGCCGATGACTATACAGTGCTATTTTTTTTTTTTTGAGTATTTTGATTATTAAAATTTATAAAATGGTATTTATATTATATAATGTTATTTTGTTGAGTCTTTTGACTATTAAAAGTTAAAAAATTATCACTTGATTATTCGTATGTTCTAAACTCATCATTTTCTATTAAAAAATGACGTTCGTCCGAGTTAGACGTTAACTTGTTGATTTAGATATGATAAAATTTGATCTCAGAACTTATTGAATTTTATTTTGTAAATCGACTCTCTGTATATATTATACCGTCGAGCTAATGCTAGTAACATTATATCGTTGAGCCAGTGTTTGAAAACAACGAAGATGTCAGTATTCTTCATTAAAAAATAATTTTATCATATCTTAATTAATAAGTTAACGTCCAGCTCAAATCATCGTTAGTCTTTTAACAAAAAACGATGAGTTTGAAATATATGAACAGTCGAGTGATTATTCTGTAACATTTTAATAGTCGGTAGACTCAACAAAACAAAATCCTATAATTAATGAATTATTTTATAACTTTTAATAATAGAATAATTTAACAAAACACGATTTTATAGTCGGGCCCAATTTGCATACTTTATTCTTAAAAGTAAATGTTTTTCCAACGTAAACTTCGCCATTTTATTACTGCTCAATGTTTTCTTTCTCCAAATCCTCTGCCCTCTACAAACCTGCCATTTTGCTACTCATCTCTATCTCACTCAGATACGTTAATAAGATCCTTAATTATGTCAATTATCAGGTTAGAGAAAATCAATCTGAAGAAGATACGAAGTGTAGCAAAGATTATTGGAACTGCAATCAGAGTCGTGAGAGCAATAGTGATGACTTTGTACAAACGTCCTGTTATTGATTTTGTGAAATCAGGTGGAGCTATACACCATGGAAAGTACCAGTGAATCTGCAGATAAAAACTGGGTAATTGGAACAATAATGCTTCTTGAAAGTATCTTTGGTTAATCAAGCTTCTTTATTTTGCAAGTGAGTTTAAATATTTCTGGAAAAAGGGAAAATATGATTAAACTACTTAGTTATTTATGAACTAACATCGGTGTATGATTTCTGGTTCAGTCCTTCACATTGAAGAAGTACCCGGCCAATCTCTGGCTTACGGCTTGGATATGTTTCATGGGAATGGTGGAAGGTGCAGGGGTGTCTCTGGTTATGGTCCGTGACCTAAGTGCCTGGAAACTAGGCTGGGACTCAAGGCGACATACTCTGTAAGTACCCCAATGAAGCCCAAGCAGACACATGAAACACAAGTACTAAACCCTTTTAACATAATTTGTGATTGATTAGGGGATAGTGTGCTCCGGAGTGGCGTATTATGTTCAAAGAGTCGTGATTCGGCAACTAGGGCCGGTATTTGTAGCATCATTTATGTATGATCATCACAGCTGCACCTGGGGCCATTGTTTTAGCAGAAAAAGTCCACCTCGGAAGGTATTATTAACCTTTGGTTTTCAATAAAGATTGGTTGATTGCTCAATTGCTTTCTTTGGCCTTTACACTGTGGTGTGGGGGTAAAAGCAAAGATGGGAAAAACTCACAAACCGATGAGAAAATCAATGGCCGGTCACATACAATTTTGACCAATCAGTGTTGATGATGGAGCTGATAAAATAATTAATATTCCCCCACATATTCCAATCAACTGATTTGATTAGTTAATTTGAGAAATTGATTTAGTTAACTTTTTTATATAGAAGTGTTTGCTAAAATTTAATTGATAACTGATATGGATAAAATGAGAAATAAGGATATGTTTCATTTAGTTGTTAAGTTTTATAATATTTTTGAAAATTTTGAATATATTTTTAAACTTAATATTTACAAATATTAACCTTGTGAGATTAATACATATTATTAACTTTGTATAATAAATTGCCCGTCTAGCTCAGTTGGTAGAGCACAAGGCTCTTAACCTTGTGGTTGTGGGATCGAGTCCTACTGAGGGTAATTCATAACGGAGGTATTCCACGAAAATTTCCCTCAATCTGGTGTTGAGAGCAACCTACTACCCTACCTCCCCCTTACCCCATTACATATGGAAATAGAGTTAGCTAATTTATTAACTTTGTATAAAATATTAATACTACATTTATTTTTTACTTTCATGGTTTATCATATTTTCTTAACTAAAATATATTTGAGAATCTATAACTAAAAATAGAACAATAAAAGAAAATTTCACTAATTTACCATTAGATGTTGCATAGCCATTTCATTGAAAATAAATTTAGATTACATAAATATTTAAGAAAAATATACATATACAAACAAGTATAAACAAATAAGAATAATTAAGAAATATGAAAATAATGAGGTTTTATGGAAACGATGTAATTATGAAAATAATAAAGTCAAATGTATCATTTAACATCTTATTTTGTAATGGTAAAAGTGCCCAAATAATGATGTGGGAATTTTTAATTCCCAAAGTAATGTACTCATCCGATTAATTCCTGATATAAGGTGTTTTCTACAGTGTTTTGGGATCTCTCGGCATCTTCGGGGTGTTCAGGAAATTGTTTTTGGCTATTTTACACAAATATCACCTTAACAAAAATTTATTACTTGTTAGTCACTGTTTAAGAATATTTTACGGATCTAGCATGTTTTTAAATACTTTCTATAAAATTATTTATGCATTAAATTACATAATACAATTATATCTACCAATTACCACTTGACACTTTCTGATGCGTTTTTGACCCTTTCAAAATCCTATACGTATAGTATATTCTAAGAAACTTTGAGGGTAAGTAATTTAAAATATAAATAATTTTATAAAATATTACAGATCATCATCATTGTGAAAATAATTTTACAGAAAGACGCAGTACATGTACCGCATAGGATTTTAAAAAATATTTATAAAAGTTTTATAACTAATATTTATTTTTCAAAATCCTATGCTGTGAATGTGTCGCGCTTTTCTACAAAATTATTTTTCAAAATCCTAGAATATACTATACGTATAAGATTTTGAAAGGGTCAAAAACGCATCAGAAAATGTCAAGTAGTAATTGGTAAACATAATTGTATTGTGTAATTTAATGCATGAATAATTTTATAGAAAGTATTTAAAATATGCTAGATCTGTAAAATATTCTTAAACAGTGCCTAACAATTAATTAATTTCTGTTAAGGTGATATTTGTGTAAAAATGCCAACTTTTTTTAAATGCTAAAGACGCCGGGATTTCCACAATTGAATTCACCCAAAGACGCTGAGAAATCTGATCCACCCCTGAAGACACCGAGAGATCCCAAAACCTTATAGAAAACACTCTATATTAGGAATTAATAAGATGAATACGTTACTTTGGGAATTAAAAATTTCAACATCATTATTTGGACACTTTTGCCATTTTGTAATCCGTATAAATTTCCATTAATTTTATTTTCAGTTTATTTTATACAATCAGGTCCTTAAAAAAAGTGTTTATCAAACACTAAAAATATAAAATTTAACTACAAATAAATTATTTATGCTCAAATAAACTAAAAACACTTCAAAAAATTATTTATCAAATACCTCTATATAAAGTCATCTATCATCTGATCTGCAGATATTAAATTTATTGTTTACTTGCCATCTTTTGACTCTACTTTGAGGCCTTAAATATGGTGAAGTAAAAACCATCAACTGTTGAAGTTTGCCTAAAATATTTCATTTCCATAGCTGTTACAGCTTCATTGAAATACAATCAAATTCTTATGATGCGTTTGATTCACGGAATGTAAGATTATCAGTGAGAATAGGATTACCAGCGGGAATAAAATTACTGAGAATATTGTATTTTGTGTTTTGGTTCGTTTAGCAGGAATGTAAGATTATAATGTTTGGTTAAATGAATAAAAGATTATCGGAATGTATATTTTACCAAATTATCATTATATATTTGTTTTTTTAACAAGTTGAATTCTACTATAATATTATTATAATTAATTTATATATTTTATTTTAAAAATTTAAATTCATAAAATTTATATAATTTTTTTTTACAAAATCGAAAAGATAAATAAGTTTAATGAAAGGATAAAATTTTATTTTAACCCCTGAACTTCATATAAAATTCTAATTATGGACTTTTTTTGTAAATCTAAAATAGTTTAAGGATAAATTTATAATTTAACCTTCGTAAAAAAAGTATTCAACGACAGAATAATGATATTTTAAAAAATTAAGGGCATTTTAATCCAAAATACTAGTAATCCAACAATACCTAAGAGAAGATGAATATTCACATTCCCGATAATATATCCCTAAAATACCACTGTTGAAAATAAAAGATTACCAGAAGTTGGAAATATTTACTAACCAAACGGAGGAATGATATTTCATTCCCCTGGTAATCTAATATGCGACCAATCAAACTCCCCCTTAAGTGCAACTTAGCACAAGAAGCTAAAAAAATGTTAATTGCCATTTTTATTGGTTTTTAAACATGGAACGTTCCGTGATAATTAACCAATTGGGTTCCGTTTAGGTTTTCATATCATAGTTACACTTGCAGAACAAAATAACATTTTGTTACTTATTATAAAATTTTACGATTTTAAATGTTAAAATTTTGGGATTAGAATTTTTTTATTAAGCTAAAATGATTATAAAATAGTATATGTTATATATACTATTAACCATTTGATAATGAACTTCTAATCACCCTTGTAATTATTGGTGCTTGAACTCATATCTTCTAAAAATAATAACGATTTCTTTAATCACCAAAATAAGATGATCCGTGCTTTGGATTAGAGCTTTAAAGTTTAGGACGTATGATTTAAATAATTTGATTGTGTATAACTTCAAATATTTTATTACTGACTTAAAAAATAATTTTAAAATGAATAAAAAAGTATAAGTGAAAATTAATTATTATTTTATTAAATTTTCTAAAAATTAATTATTATATTTTATATATGATTAATAGCAGATTCCCAATCGATTCGATTTAATAGCAGAAAATCAAAATAGAAAATTGGAAGCGAAACAGATGCTACTATAATATAATTCATAAAACGAATAACAAATGCAGATCACGTGTACCAATGTGGTGGGCATGCCGGAGTGGTTATCAGGCATGACTAGAATCATGTGGCTCTGCCCGCGCAGGTTCGAATCGTTCTGTTCACGTTTTGGTGGCCTTGCACGAGAAGAAAAATGTGCTTTAGGTTAGAAAACTGGAATGACTTGGGGGAGTTTAAAAGTATGAAAAATTGATAAGGTACCAATTTTCTATGCTTTAGGTGTCGATATCATAGAATTTTAGAGGTTTAATACTTGTTTGAATTTTTGAATGGATTTATCATTCGAGTATGATATCAAATAGAAATATTGATACTTATACAATTATAATATAATATATATTTAAATGTTTTATTATGATTATAATCTAATATATGTTTAAATATTTTGTTAATCTATTGATAATGTATACACAGCCTCAAAAGTAGTTACTTGACATAATTGGCTAAGTTAATACTATGTTACTTTTTTTTAAGTTTGATTTGGTTGCCTTATAAGAATGCTTTTGTTGCAATTTGGTGCCTCCATGCTTTATTGTGAGCTGTTTATGCTATTATAGATTCGATTGTGTCCCATTTTCTGCTCTGATTTCATCACGAGCGAGTCTTCTAATTGAATAGAGGGTGTTGTAGAATTTGTATTTAACAAAATTTATATATAAATTCTTTTATTGTTTTTCATATGTGATATTTTTTAATATATTTAAATATATATATATATATATATATATATATATATATTATAACATAAGATATTTTCTTTTGTCTATATCCCGAATATGACAAAATCTAATTACAATTAAATTATTTTATGGGCAAAGTTAGAAAATATTTCAAGACAACAACATAAGCCATAGTTTAAGGACTTCCATATAGTAACTAATTCAAAGAAAATAAGTGTTATTATTTTTATTTTATTTTTTGAATAGTATGAAATAATTATAAGACAATATAGGTTCAAAATATTTTTTAGTCATTGGTAAATATATATATTTTATGGATATAATTATTTGAATTCATAATTTTTTTTAAATTAATAACTAGTATATGATTTATTGATCAACTAATCCAGATCAGGTACTATAATGACGAGAACGACCCTTCCAACTCAATTGCTTCATTCACAAACGTCATGATTCGAACATTTTACTTTACTTAAAGAATGTAATGCCTCATCCACTAGATCAACTGATTGTTAATTGAATTTAAAACTTAAAAAAAAAACTTATATACTCTTTAATCAATAATGTCTTGATGAATTCTAATTGTTATCTTGAAAGAGTCAAAGCATTTAGCGACAACATTAAACAAAACCGGTTCGCGACGGTTTTACAGTCTTACGGAACCCGCTCATTTGGACACGAAAACGCGAAACGACACCATCCCAAGTTCCCAAACCATCGTCAAAATTCATCGTTTTCCCCCAAATCTCAAGAACCCTTAAGAAAAGTTCCGGTTTTACGTTCGACAATGGGCGGCCATGAAGCTGTGGAGGTTACCAAGACCGTCCTCGAAGTCGCCGACGTCGCATGGGCTGCCTTGGAATGTTGCCACCACCACCACCACCATCGCGACGATGCTCCCAGAAATCATGAGAACTCCAAACTTGAAAAAGAATTGGAAATCCTAAAATCGGAAAACTGACGTTTGAGGAATCAGCTTGAACAGAACCTTAAACTTCGGAATAATCTATCTGAATATCCTGCTCTATTAAACGATTGTCCTCCCGACGTACGTAATTTTCCTTCATTTTTCCGTTTTATTTTATTTTATTTTTCTAATTTCTGGAATTAATTGCAGCTCCATGCTCGGTTGATGTCTACCGTAGATTCTAAAAACTTCTTGAGCCGGCTCAAATCACTTAATGAATCCAATACTAAAATTGAGTTTCCATTCAAGGAAGCTACAGGTTCTTATATACCAAATCTCTTCACTGAATTTTTAAACTTTTTGTTGATTAATTTTTGGCAGGGTAAAGTTACTTTACTGATTTGTTCAGATTAGACATACTGATTCTGTATGGTGATAAGTTATAACAGATAAACGAGGATTTCTCTTCATTTTTAAATCAGCTATTTTCTCATATCATTGTATAGAAATTCATAATCAGACTTGTAAATTATTACCTCATAGGTGGGGTAAATTACTCGGGACAATTGTTGGCGCTATTTCTTTGCTCCTTTTATGTTAGGAATGTATAAATATTGATTGATTAGCTAACATGTTTTTTTTAAATTAGGAGATGATATACGTTCAGTTGAAGTTCTGATTAATGTTGACCAAAAAGAACCAAGTTGGTGGATATGGGTAACTGATGAAATGGTTCCAAGCAATGTTGAAGAGTGGAGTGGAATTGATGATGAGAATTACATTGTTCTTAGTGAAGAGCATGTTGTGGATGGGGTTGCTAACTTTATGGCAAAATGCATATAGTCAAACCCTAAAGCTCAGGTTTTTAGCTACTCAATCTGACTTTCCTTTTCTACTAAATATACCATGTTCGTATGTTTTTTTGTAATTCTGGTATTGCAGACTTTGACCCCAGAAGAACAGCAGAAAAGTAAGTTCCCTGTTAAATAGACTTATCTTCACCCATTTCTTTTTCTTGGTATATTACCTGATAGTATAAATGCCTCATGATAATTGATGGTAAATATTGAGGTCCCGTTCTTTAGATAAATAGGAAGTTGCATTGCAATTCACTGCAACAAATCTACATAGTGGAAGATGGGCAGCAGTGCTGTAATAATTACTAAAGATACCATGCATTAGCCCTTGACTTGTCTTTTGTTTTAAATGGTTGATAACCTTAATCTTTAGACACTTAAAAAGCGGTTTTCTGTTTTATGAGTATGTTGCCTGACATTTCTTCTTCTTCCTGTTCAAAACTTGCTGGTGAAGTTCAGCCTATATTATTTTCCATTGGTTTTGTTACTAATTATCATCTCTTTTCCCCCATTCTTTTAATTAAATGTGAATACCATATAGTGTTTGCTTACTGTGATGAGATTATGAGCAGCTCTGCTGAAAGCAATAGGAGGTGTCAGCAAATTGGAGAAGGTTTTGAACATTTGGCATGCTGGAAAGTTGTTCTATACTTTGACAACATGGGGACTTACTCTGGCTGGGTAAGTTTTCGCTGTTCCTTTTACCAATCTTTCTTTTGGTTTTTTGTATTTGTCAAATTGCCTTCCATGCATGCTTGTTCCTTGTTGTTTGAGAAGAGTTGCTTGCGAATTTAAAACCTTGATCCTTACGGCAATGCATATATATCTTCTTTTAAGAAGATCAAAGTCCATTATAGGTTTTGCATGGATGATTAAATCAGTACTAAATAATTATGGAGCCTACCTAGATATTTAACAGTTGAACTATATAAACGGCACCCCGCACCTCCGCAGCATCATTTTGTATTTCATACCTTAATAGGGATTGTTATTCACTAAAACAGGTATGCCTTTCATATATAGACGATGTAAACTACTCAAGTCCTGCACAACCATTTGCATAGTTATCTTGTAAGCTAAATTCAAGCAATTAATCGAAGCACTGTTTGAACAAACTTATCACCCATTACACTGTGGCATTGAACTGGGAACAAGTCTTTCAGTACCAAAGCATCAATAGAGTGAAAATTATGAAGTTTTTACTGCAAACTTGTACGTATGCAGATTTAAGGAAGATTGGTACTGAAAGATATTCTCAGATACATACTCCAGAATTTAAACATGTGCTAGGTTGTGTCCATGCTCTTATGTAATTTCTAATCTAATGAATTGAGTTTAACAATATCATTATTTCTCTGACTTGGTCAGGTTATATAAGAGCCGTACCATAATGAAATTTGCTGCAATGGGCATTAACACATCCGGCAAAGTTGTAATGAAGGCTCTACGAATGGATTTAACTTCTGTAACTGCATAGCAGAGAAAAGGTCTCTTAAGTGTAGTGACCCCATCATCAAACACCATAGAAAACTTCCATTTTAGCATCAATTTAGTATAGAACACACAAATATCAGACACTTCCAATTGGGGAAGGTATCCCAGCCTTAAGATAAACAGGATTAACCGAAATAACCTCAGAGTTCATAGCTTCCCCAGATTTAACAACAACAAACTGGCTCTCCCTGAACTTAGTAATAACTTCCACACTCTTCATCAGATTCTCCATTGCTCCATTATCATACATTCTGGCCTATCAGCATAAAACACTCTATACTCATCACCAGTAGAAGCCTGGCCTTCATCCAAAACGAACCCAACATTCAAATCCTCAAACTCCTTGGAGTTGACAAATTTGTCACACCCATCAATCCCTCCGATTTCTTCATCAGGAACGTAAGAAATATGAACAGTTCGCAAAGGAGTAAACCCTTTAGCCTTGAGGTTGCGAATGGCTTCCAAGTATTGCATAGCGATGCCCTTGTCATCTTGAGCACCGCGGGCGTAGATTCGACCGTCGGGGGTGAGGGTGGCGGCGAAAGGGGGGTGGATCCATTTGGAAGGTCTGGCTGGGACGGAGTCGAGGTGGGAATTGAAGAGAACCGAAGGAAGAGAAGGGTCGGAGCCAGACCATGTTAGGAGAAGAACTGGTTTAGATGGGACGAATTCAAAGGTTCGGGATTGGAGGCCTATGGCGTTTGCTTGGGATATGAGGAAAGAGACAGGGTCGGCGTAGTTAGGATCAGGATGAGCGGTTTTGAACTGAAGGTAACGACGAAATCGAGCGATGGGAGTGTCTTCTTGGGAATGAACTGAGAAGAAGACGAGGAAGAAAGAGAAGAAAAGGAGGCGAAGATTCGGCATGATTAAGGCGATCTAAGAGTGGAGACTAACTAGGAAGTAAAGTAGTAGTACTCTTTTCTTTAGAGCATTGAAGTACTTAGATTGCAGTAATCTAAGTGGTAAAGAGTTGTACTTAGTTAAGTAGGGTAAAGTACACAAGTCATCCTTTGATTATACAGTGTTATTTTTTTGAATATTTTATTAAAATTTATAAAATGATTTATCGATTATAGGATGTATTTATTGAGTCTTTTGACTATTTAAAGTTAAAATTATCACTTGACTATTAGTATGTTCTAAACTCATTATTTTTTATTAATAATGACGCTCGTCTAAGTTGGACCTTAACTTGTTGATTTGAATATGATAAAATTTGATCTCGGAACTGATTGAATTATATTTTGTGAATCGACTCTCTGTTTACATTTTACCATCGAGCTAATGCTAGAAACATTATATTGTTGAGTCAGTGTTTGAAAGCAACGAGGATGTCAGTATACGTCATTAAAAATAATTTTATCATATATTAATTAATATGTTAACGTCATCGTTAGTTTTTTTAACAAAAAAAGATGAGTTTGGAACATATGAATAGTCGAGTGATTATTCTGTAACTTTTTAATAGTCGGTGGAGTCAACAAAACAACACTCTATAGTTAATGAATTATTTTATAACTTTTAATAATAGAATAACTTAACAAAACACGACCTTATAGTCGGAGAGCCAATTTGTATACTTTACTCTTAAAAGTAAATGTTTTCCAACGTAAACTTCACCATTTTATTAATGCTCAATGTTTTCTTTCTCCAAATCATTGTCCTCTACAAATCTGCTGTCATAACCATTTTTCAGGTGAAATAATTGTTTATTGTTTTAAAAACAGTTATGATTTTATTTTGGAAAAATTAGAGATTTTGGATTAATTGGAATTAAATTGGAAGAGTCACCATCGACCTTTGGATTATGTAGGTTGAATACCTAAAACGATTTTAAGAAAAATCATTTTTTAGACAAAATTTGGTCTGCGTCCAAAGATTCGATTAAATGGATTCGAGAGTCAGTTACGCGCTGGGAAAGATTAGCACCCCACAGCGCCCAAAATTGATACTGTGTCGCTTACACTTTGTCGTAATGGTAAAAATCATGAATCAAATATAAAGTTAAAATATGATCTATTTATTGAGTTTACTTAATTTACTTCAAATTAAATATTAGGGGAAATTCTTTAACTTGAAAAGAAATCTCGAGATTAGCAATCCTCTGTCGGGAATGTTATTTCGACTATTTCTTATCCATAAAGAATATTTCCTAATCATTGATTAAAAAACGCAATTCGAATATAAATTGAGCATCAACATTTGTATAAAATAAAATAAGTTGATATTTAGCGAGACAAGCATTGACTTAAAATAAGTTAATTAACAAAATAAAATCAATTTATTTCAAGTTAACATTTTGTTCGAACGTCGTATTGGATTGCACTACTTCGATCAAGCAATGCTTTCCACGCCTGTTCTACAAATCGTTGTTCTTGAAAATATTCGAGTAAAATATAAAATATTAACGAATAAAATAAGTATTTATCCATCCTTCATGACATTGATTCTTAAAGAATAGAATACATACATAAATATCTAAGAGCCAAAAAACATTGATTAAGCACATACTTAGAACAATACATGATAACATTAATCTCTAAAAAGTTACAGAAACTAATTCCTCATATACGAAAAATTTATACATGAAGTGTATAAATAAGTAAATACACATATAAATATAATATGTACATATGTGTAGTAACGGTGGAAGCAAAATATATACAACTTCATAACATAATTACGGGGTTTCAATTTAAAAAAACAAAATAACTAGGACTAAACGAACAATAAACCCTTAAGATCTTAATACCAAATTATGAATAGTGGTCAGCACGCAAATGAAAATAAACCTAAGGCCTCAAAAACATAAATTACCCATTTTGGATATTAATTACTTCTAGTGACTAAACTGAATATTACATAAATTCACCAATCAAAAATATAAATACTAAAATGAATATAATAACATACATACGAGACTAAAATAAAACATTAAGAAACAAGGGGCTCAAAACCGAATAGAGTAAAATACAATTAATGACCAAAGTAAAACATTACAAAGATACGGGGACCTAAATGATGATTTACCCTAAGTATGAAAAAACGTTGAAGGTCCCCAGTGAAACGACTTCGTTTCGGTAGAGGGATATAAGCCCAAAAACAGTCTTTTTCCCTTCAATCTCTCATTTGCTTCAATTCAGAAAAATAGGGAGAGAGAATTAGAGAATTCTCTCAACTCTCTCATCGGTGGGGAAGCCGCCACCGTTCACCGGTAGCAATCCACGGCGGCTCACGGCAGCCGGAGCGACCTAAATACCCTAAAAATGTTCCTCTTCACTCCCTAAGCTTGAAAACTACCCCCACTCGGCCTAAATCCTTCCCTGGAATTGTAGATCTAGACTTTTACCTTGCGAATGTTCGCCGCTTCCGACGACTCTATGTCTTCTCACTTCACACCAAGGTAAGAACCTCTGCTCCTTGTTATACTTTTGATGATTCTTTTATTTTCTTGTTCTTTGGTTAGACTGAGATCTGTTTTTTTCCTCATATCTCTTTTTTTCTTTTCGAAAAGCCCCCCGAATCCCTCATTTTTTTGTTCGATTCTTTCCCTTTTTATGGTGATCTCCTCTTTTGTTTTTTTTCATTTTTTATTATCATCACCGAATGCCTTGTCCCCCTCTTCTCTGTCTTCTTCCTTGCTTTATGGTATCATTTTGCTTTATTTGGTGAGATAATGACATCTAGGATAGTGGAATGGTGGTTTATTGATTTAGGGTCGATAAAATCCCATATTTTTTGAGATTTAGGTATTTAAAAATGGTTTAGTGGATTTAGTATTTGAGTGGGATTTGGTTGATGTTTGGCAGGTGGATGATGAAGAGGACTGTCAGTGGTGACTCGGTTGTGGCTTGTTGGTGTCTCTACGGTGATGCACGCGTCGGTCTGAAGTAACGCGTGCATCACACGCACCAGTGGACAATTCGGATCTTCTTGCTAGTGGTGCTATAAATAATTTAGGATTAAAACCCTAATCTGGTTTACTTGTGGGTCGATTCGAGTCGGGTTATCGAGTCCTCAGGTCGGGTCTTGAAATTGGGTCTGCTGAGTGTTGGGCTTGTACTTGTCAACAGATTGTTATAGGCTTCGGGATTGGGCCTCATTTGGGTCATTGGTTATCCTGTAAACATGTAATAATAATAATAATAATAATAATAATAATAATAATAATAATAATAATAATAATAATAATAATAATAATAATAATAATAATATTTTTAAACCCGGACAAAAATGAGTGTTTATAATTTCCCTCTTTGCACATTATTGTGTTAACAAGAATAGGGAAAAGACGAAAAAGATAACCAGACTTTGTCCGTTTTTTTTTTGTTTTAGATACTTGATAGTGTTTGATTTGGGGATGACACTGCTCATACTATGATGAATCTTGGCCATCTTTAGGAAGGGCGATAACACGGTTCCTACGTGATGAGGACGGCTGATTATCTGGGTTGACACAGCTCCTACGTGATGAGGATATCTGGTCGGGGATGACACTACTCATACTATGATGAATCTTGGCCATCTAAGGGTGATAACACGGTTCCTACGTGATGAGTACGTCTGGTTATCTGGGTTAACACAGCTCCTACGCGATGAAGAGATCTGGTCGGGGATGACACTGCTCATACTATGATGAATTTTGTCCATTTAAGGGTGATAATAAGGTTCCTACGTGATGAGGACGGTTGCTTATCTGGGTTGACACGGGTCCTACGTGATGAGGAGATCCGGTCAGGGATGACATTGCTCATACTATGATGAATCTTGGTCATCTAAGGATTTTGGTTTCAAAAGAAACCGACTCAGAGATGATGCTTCAAAAGAAGTTATCTCAAAAGAGACAAAATTTTGTTTCCAAAGAAAAAAACTCAAAGATTTCTTCTTAAAAAGAAATTATCTCAAAAGAGACAAAATTTTGTTTTTAGAAAACACCATCAAAGGTGATAGACAGTATACTTGCTTCTTCATATCGAGGAAATATCTTCAGAAGATATGTTTGTCATTTCCGAACATTGATTTCCTGAAAGATCAAAACAATGCATTTTTTACTGACTATTTTGGATATTATGATGGATGTCAAAATTGCACATGATGATGAATGTAAAGATGTAAATTTCATGCATCATGTATGTATGTGTTGATGTATGTATTCTTTCTTGGTGGGAATTATTGCATAAGCATGCTTCATTCTATCCTTGATTCAGTTTGTTTTCATTTCCACCAGGGTGTACTCTTGCAAACCTCAACCTGAGATAATTTATTTTCTTTGCCCCATCAAATTTTCTCAAAAATTTGGTTTCCCTTGCCCTAGCTTCAATCCTGAGCTTCGAAAAGATATTCGTTCAATTCCAAGATATTTCCAGAGAACTTATCTTGTTTGAAAATGATTTTATTCCTTTGAATTTTCAAAATCTTGAAAAATATCAAAAGGAATTTTGAAAATGTTACCTCTTTCTAGGTTTCACAATCGAAGCAAATCATAAAACAGGAGTTCATTGGATATCAAAAGAATTAACTGCTATTTTAATCTTTGATAGCTATAAATCTTTGAGAAATATCAAGATCGAAAAAGTTGGTTTAGAGGTTGGCTATCTAAATTTTAGGGTTTATTTCATCGATTCGGTCATTGTGAAGATCATGGCTTACCCCTCTTTCTTGGTTTGACATTTTATTCAGAGACGAACAAAATGACCCAACTAGCATAGTCAATAGCTAGACTTTTCATAACGTTTCTGTTTCAGTTCTCTGAAATCTTACATTTGTTCAAACTTCGTAGATTCCTTTAGACAATGTAGTGCAGAAATATCGGTCTAAAAATGAGATTTTTTAGTGCTCGTGTGAGTTTGACTATAACAGGTGTT